GGTTCAATCTCAGCACCACAGAAAATGAAGAAAAATAATAGTCACACTATGATAATAAAAACTTGAAATTAGAAATTCTTTGTAGCTTGGACTGTGTTGGATGTTGTCCTCACAATGGGTTTTTACTACAGTCTCTATGTAAATATAGTTAATTTTGCACTTCTCAAGACTAATACTACAAGAATCTAAAGCTTTCTGTATTGTTTAACAACAGTGTAGTATATATATCTGTAATGGGAAAATGACTAATATAAAAATAAAATTTCACTAAAACATCCTTTAAATATATATAGCATGTATCCTAAATAAATCTTTCTTGGGTTCAGTTTATATCTTTGAAAAAATATTTTAAGTATTTATTTATTGAGATTGTAATGTAATTGCATCATTTCCCCCATCCCTTTTCTCCCTCTAAAGTCTTCCATATACACTTCGTGGCTCACTTTCAAATTCATAGCATTTTTTTTATTCATTGCTATTATATACACACATGTATGCACATATGTATATATATGCACATATAAAAATTACCTGCTCAGTCTGTATAATGCTACTTGTATGTTTTCAGGGCAGACAACTTGGTATTGGGTAACAAATTGATCTGCTTTTCCCAGGGAAGATTGTTTCTCCTGCTCTCAGCATCTCTTAGTTGTCTGAAATTCTGAGGCCCTGTGGTCTTTCTCCCCTTCCACTTTAGTATGTCTATTGTTTAGCTCTTATTGATGAGATGTTACATAGCTTCTGACTTTACTAGGAAACACAATCTTATAGCAAACTCGGTTATCCTCTGGTTCTTACTGTCTTTCCACCTCTTATCTGCAATGATCCCTACCCTTAGGTGTGGGAGATGTTATATAGATGAACCACAACAATAACCAACATAACACAATAATTCTAAGAGTTCAATAGTGGCATGGATATCTTGGCAGTAACCAACAGCTCTCTAATTTGATTTAAGGCCTACTCAATAAGAGGGAAGTCATGCCAGGTACTAAATCCTAGCCAGTTCACTAGGGCTAGTGAAGTCATGGACCTTGTTGGAGAACCTACAACTGCTACTTTACTAAACCAGCATAACCCCTAAAGCCTGAATCTACTAATAGGAGTTACAGAAAGGAAACTAGTTTTAAAACATGAAAAACTTTTGTTGATTTCATTCAAAGTGAAGAATGTGACATTACATATTGTGCAACTGGGCCCTATTCCTAATGTTTTCTCTGCATCTAAACTCCTGACCAGTTGCCAAGGTTTATCTTTAAATGCCCAGACCTAAACAAGTTCAAACAAAATTGTTCCTCAGTATAACTTACCCTGCTTTCCTTGTTACCTATTAGATTTACTTTGTAAAGAACAGGATAATCTATGGACATTCCAATAGACAACATAAAAATTGCTCAACCTTACACAAAGAATTATAGGCAACTGAAGAAAGCTGGGAATAGGAGATGTGGTCTTCTTCAAGAAAAAGCATACCAATTGGTTGTCCAGTGCCAAATGTCAACACTGAAAACACACATACAAGTAACATTATATGGCATGAACAAGTCAAATTTAAGAATATATATATATATATATATATATGTGTGTGTGTGTGTGTGTGTGTGTGTGTGTGTGTGTGTATGCATGCAATAATAATTACTGAAAAAAAAGAGACCATTAATTTGAAGGAGAGTAGGGAGGGCTTAATGGGAAAGCTTGGAGAGCGGAAAAAGAAGTGAGAAATGTAATTATAACCTCAAAAAATGTTCATAATGATAGTAATTCAAATCATCAAGTTATATGTTCAAGTAAACATTAGGATCAGTCACATGGATCTTACTAACTGAAACTGTTAGCTGCATGCTTTGGGCTACTGTTCCCCTTCTTTAGAATTTGTTACTATTAAAATCATCTACCCCACATATTTGTTGTGGAGATTAAAAGAAATAAAATTGTAAAGCAACAAGCCTTCCATATACCTCCAAGAAATGCTTAGCAAACAGTTGTTGCATTATTATTATAAATTACTGTGTGCCATGTTATAATAGAGTCTCCATACAGTTTCATGACAGTTGTAAATGACCAGCAGAGACTTCTAACAGTCTTTGTTTAACAAATTAAGCTGAAACTCAGACTCCTAGGAACAAACTGATAAAAGGCAGAACAATGATTAAAAGCAGACCATTCTGCCTCCATTTCTTCCCCATCATGCCCTGTCTACTGCAAGTTTCATACAAGGGTTCAACTTTTAGCTAAAAATTAAAAGCAAATAAATGAAAACCTGTTTCCCTATTCTATCACCCACATAACAAGGGTCAATGTGTAGCTCTGGTAGTGGAGCACACAGATACTTCCATCACTCAGAACCGTATCGTGCTGTAGCATCTGCCTATGCTGCTTTTATTACATTACAAAACATTTTTCCAAACATTAAAATAAATCTTCATATATAAATTACTTAACCTCTGTGGGGATTTCCACAGAGCTTGAAACTAAAGGAATCATTCCTTGTAACTGAGGCAATAATAAGAACAGTTGAGTAGTAATTGGAATAGCAAAGCCAATATGAAAAATGTCCAATAGTTCTCTTTCACCAATGGCTGATATTTCTATAGTTCCCTGATTTCCCTCTGAGGCTCAATAAGCTTTAAAGTGTTTTCAAAGTTTATTCTCAGTTTCTGAATATAATCCAGGTGAGTTTCATTATCTATGCCCGTAACACTGATTATTTTGCCTTGGAAATTTTTCTCTTACCTGAAAACCAAATTGCCTTTCTATGCAATACTAATTACAGCCATCATCCTCTCTCCAGAGACTTCTCAGTTACTATAGTCTGGAAATTTAAAATGCAATAAACAATGATAATGGCCAAACAAATAACTGCATAATTCAATATTCAAGACAAAACCAAGTAGATTGCTTATTTGCAAAGCGTCTCTTTCACATAGACCCAGCTTTGGTTTTCAAATATTTGGTGCTTAAGAAATAAAGCTGGGAAGCATCATGTGTAATAAAAGAATCACTAGGAATCATAGAAAGTATCAGAGATGAGATCAGCTCCTTTGCAGTATCTTGAACACATTTCAACTATAACTTCAACCACACTGTGTTAAATCACCAGTATCCAAGTTCTCCATAGACTCTGAGACCTTTGAAAGTATCTTGTGATATTCTAAAATACATTAGGCTTCTGAAAAGAAAAAAAGCTAACAAATAGCTACTGGGAAGCTAATACACTCAAGAAATACCATCATGATCCTGAAGAGAATCTGATTGCTTAGACCCAGCTGCTCCAGAAGGTGAGACTAGAGAGCAACAGATTCAGTAGAATAATACCCTGCCTCAAAAATAAATAAATATAAACAAATAAATAGATAAGAGAAAGGGGAGGACCAGGAAAATATTTCAGTGGTAGAGCGCTTGTCAACTATTTTAGTTTGTTTGGTTTTTCAAGACAGGGTCTCTATATGTGTAGCCACCATAATAGGGCTCACTATACAGAACAGGCTCGCCTTGCATTTACACAATTTACCTGTGTCTGCTTCCCTCCTGGGAACTGGGATCAAAGTCATATGCCACCACAGCATACTAATACTAAATAATACTAACATAGTCCAATAGAATTAATACAGACACTAAGCACATCTGATTCATAAATTTAATTTAGTTCTTAGAAATTCTGGTTCAATATGTAAGCTGTTAAACTTAATAACCCAGAAATTTGGACAATATACATATTAGGAGCATCATTAAGTCTTCCTAAATATACACGTGGCTCCTTCCTACAAATACTTCCATGTAAATTCTGGAGAAACAGCAAATGTCTCCCTGCATCTGTAGTAATTGGATGTCTTCCCACAGCTAGAGTTACTATCTTCTAAAAAGTTTTCTATCACAATAGAAAGAGCCATGTTGACCTCAAAGAGGAAATGACTGATAGGCTAGACTACAAAACAACCACTGACCCTTTCTTCATTCTTAAACTGGAGGTTTTGGGGATGGCTTCCATATATAACACATTCCCTAGTTAGAGAAATAGCATTGCTCATAATGATAATGAGACTCTGAGTTCTCATCCTTTTACTTGTTTGGAAGGATTGCTGTGCTGAGACTGTTTTCTTCCCAGTAAAGAAAGAGCATGGGGGGAGGGCCTAGGTCCTGCCCCAAATGATGTGACAGACTTGGATGATCCCCCATGGGAGGCCTCACCCTCCCTGAGGAGTGTTTGGGGGGTGGAAGGGCGCTGATGGGAAGGATGGGAGGACAGAAGAGAGAGGGAACTGGAATTGGTATGTTAAGTAAGATTGTTTTTGATTTAAATAAAAATGAATTTAAAAAAAAGAAAGACCAAGCAATCCCTCTGGGTTCTACTTCCTTTAGGAAATTGTGGTTTGCAAGCCCATAATTTTTTATGTGTTTTCCTTTCTGTTTTCTCAAGAAAACATATTTACAAGCATTTCATCATCATGCGTGAGAGAACAAAGAAAGGCGTCTGGCCTTAACTCCTTTGGCACTACCACCCAAGGCTCTATGCATTCCAGGGACACAATTGGTCGCAAGACAGCTTTCAAGCAGAAGAAATAAGAGGAAGAAGAATCTGTACTTATCCTCCCTCCGGAATTGTCATAATGGTCTAGTGCAGAAACCTAATTTTATCACTAGTAGGAATCAGATGATGTAGCCTGCTCGTTATGCACACAGTATCTCATGGTTGTTTCTAAGCAGTGCCTGGGTTGAGAAGTCTTAAGGATATAGATATCAAGGGCCCTCCTGTCTAATCAACATTCTTCCTTCGAATAGATGGGGCATTGTGAATACCATTTGTAGGCCAGACATATTGTAAGCAAGAGGCATAAAATAGGCACAGCCCTATGGTAGAAGGACTCAGTGACCAGAATTTCTGATATGTCCAACATTTAGTAAATCAAAGATCAACTCCAATGAACTGTGTTTTCCTTTAAGGTTAGTGTCTTGTCTGAAAATGAGATCATCTAGATTTTTTTTGTTTTCTTAATCCACAGAATGTCAGTACTGGGGCTCAGAGCTCCAGCTGCCTACTCTGAATTTTGAAGATGTGTTAAAAGAAGATGAGCATGCATACAAATGGCTCTCCACCCTCAAGAAAGTAGGCATTGTGAGACTCACTGGAGCAGCTGACAAATGCGGAGAGATAACAAAACTTGGGAAAAGGATTGGCTTCTTGTACCTCACATTCTATGGGTGAGTCTTCAGATGGTTTGGCTTCTGCCATCACAAATACAGTTGGATCTATTTCTAAGATGGGGTAGGCTTTGATTATAGGATAAATGCCACTGTTCTTGTGCTTAAATTGTAAAGAGCCTTAGAAGTAAAGAGACTTTCATAAGCCAACATTTACACACCAGTAGCACATAGTCTTACTCAGATGTGTTTGGTTTGGCCCATAAGATGTTGAAAGAAAATAGAATTAGCTATCAACACTTTAAAACTAAGAGGCCTGCAATTTATGTAGACCTATCTTTTCTTGAAAAGCCTGATCTAACAACACTACAGAGAACAAATTTACTGAGCATAAACAGGAGGCACCTTGCATCATTTGCTGAACTCTTCTCCCTCTGAAGACCTACAATGCTGTGATCTCATAGGATTTTCTTGTCTCTAGTGGAGAATGAGATTCACAGATGATCAGGGACATTTAATCATCTACCCTTAATCATTTTAGTGAGTTTATCATAGCAAGAGGCTATATCATGTTTGTACATACACAAGCTATTCCCACCCCTTAGCATATGAATTTACTTACACTATTAGTAGATTTGCTTTATATAAATGTGTATAGTCTTTTCATCTTCAAAGTTTACGCTGCTGTGGAGAGTGCAATAATCATAGACCAATGATTGAGAAGAAAATATTTGAAATTATTACGAGCCTCTTGTATATTTTTCTTTAATTTCTTTAAAGTTTCTGAAATAGAGATTATCCTCCAGCTTGTAGGAAAGAAGTATGATTTGTAATCAAAATTTCACATGGGTAATAATAAAGGAGGCAAAGTATAAATCTAGACTTGCCTCTTCACTATTAATGACATGAAGAAAATACATGAAAAGGTTCTGAGACTGAACTAAACAGAATACCTCAAAATATATCTCTTGCAAGTCATTTTGCTTAGTTCTCTTTCGTGAACAACAAATATTTGAGTCTATTCCAATGCATGTCACAATTTCATAATACTGACCAGTTTGGATGCTCTTTTCAGAGGTTCTTAGCTCCACCCAAACCACTCACCCATCTAACTGGGGGTCAGAATCTTAATCCTGATTTATGGTTTGACATTTGTTTTGTTTTGTTTCTACAGATCCTATAAAGGGGCTTAATAACTTGGCTACTGATCTAATATTGTGAAATCTTTTGGAATAAATAATAAAGGTCCGTTGTCAAAACAAATCGGACCTGGTACACCACCTGATTCCATTTTATCGAGACCTCCCCATCCAGTCAGAGTGGTTTATCCTATCCCACCACACCCTCCCAGGATGACCAAATCTTCCCAAGATCTTTTACACTACATATATGTCAAGATATCCCTTACAACTTTCCCCACAGATTTTCCTCTACATTTTATGAAATTTTTAATTCTCTAAACTCAGTAACTCTCACAGGGTTTTTTTTGTCATACTGGTTTTGTTTAGTTTGCCTATTTGGGACTTGGATATTATGGTTGGTGTTAAGAGAACAGGATAAATTGAGTATTTTCTTTGACATTATCCTGTTTTCTGCTCCCCTTCTCAGGAATGTGGGAAAGAGATATTGATGTTTTGGTGACATGAGACTTTCATTAGCATCCTAAAGGGCACCTAAAATAGTATTGTTCAGACTGAGCAACATGTTGGAGTAGACCATTTTAAGACTACAGACATCTGGGTTCTATCTTCAGAGATTTTCTTTCAGATGAGTGATATTTGACCTCTGAATTGGGCCTTTAAGAACTCGGCAGATGATTCCCATGTGCAGTCAAAATTGGGAACTTCTGGCTGAGAGGAAAGGACTCTTCTAGACATACACAGTAGAACTTTGAGTGTCATGCAACCTCTGAAACCTCACAGTCGTATGTCATAGAAGTCCCTTATTATATTCTGAAATAAGTACCCACCTGTTCTTTGCTACTTAAATTGAGTTAGTAGCTTGGAGAATTTTAAATGCTTAAAAACCACTTAGAATAGCTATTTTAGAGAATGTTGAGAATAGCTAGTTTTAGCTCTAGGCTATTGTTTTTTTGTAGGATAAAAAACAATAGATTACAGATTTTCATGCATTCTTCATATATAGTAGGTAGAGATAAATGCTTAATGGGCAAATACATGCCTAGATGTTTTAAAGGGCTACTGAATAGCAGAGGAATACAGTAATTATTGTAGCATTTCATAATCATAAACTTACATTCAACTAAATCAAAATCCTAATCAATTTGAGCACAATGTACACGTCAGTTTCTACATCTGCATTTTCTCATATGCTTGTCATTATTCTGCCAGTCAGTCTGCCAGCCCATATAATTGTCGTGTGCTATGTGCAACACTCAACAGCACTAATGCCCCAATGATGAAAGCTTCCCTGGAATAAAGAATATGGATGTAAAAAGAGTAATCTTTTCAAAATTTAAATCTTGATTTAGAGCAATTCATTTTATAAGGAATAGAGACAAAGACTCTCATTCCTCCCATACCAACAAAAATAAATTATTGAACTCACAGAAGCCCTTTGGGGATATATGAAGAAATTATTTTAACTTTATGGTATAATTTAACCCAGTCATTCTAAGCTATACTTTTTGTGAATAGTGCCAGCTTCCATGATTACAAATTAGAATGTGAAGAATGTATCCTACATGGTAAATCCTAAAGAAACAATTGCTGCCAATGAAACAATGTCTCTCTTGAATATCAGTGTGTGTAAGAAATTAGGCTAGGCATTCTTTCTAAACTGGGCTTGAGTTTTTATCTTATGGAAAATGATGTTTGTTGGTTACTATACATGAATGACTATAAGCACTTCAGCTAGCTTTGTCTAAATAATCTAAAGAGATAAAAATTCCACTGACACCAAAGATCAGACTTCAGTTTCAGTTGGCATTCCAAGGGGATGAATGCTCTTTCAACACAGTGCAAAGTAATCTAAAGTAGAATCAAAGTAGAAACAAGAAGGCCTTTAAAGAAACTAAATTTAGGGAGTGATAAGATTGGCTTAATGGTTACTATTCTTAAATAGTACCAGAATTTGGTTCCCAGCACCTACATTTTTGGGCAGTTCACAATCATCTGTAACTCCAGCTCAGAAAATCCAACAGTCATTTCTGGGCTCCATGGGAACCTGTACTCATGTGCACAAACCCACACAAATACTCCTAATTTAATTTATGTCTGCTACCATATATAAATATTATGACATTCATAAGTACCTATTTAATTGACCACTTGATGTTATGTGTCATGTCTTCCTCAACCCACGTTATTCTAATTCAGACACATCCCATTCCTGCTTATGCCTGCCACAGACTAAACTAAGACATCTGTGTCTTATTGCCACTGTCATTTGGAGCTCCTGACCACCAAAATGGTGGGTAACCAAGGTCCAGTTTTTAGGAACAGCCTAGTGTCTATCCTGAAGATAGCCTCTAGGGGATGACTGAAGCCATAGTCATCCCCGTTGTTTGCTCCAAGGTCCTTCTTTCACTTCTTTCTAAAGCCTTTTCACATGACACATGGACCCTGCTTTTTCATCCCCTATCTGTTATTGTCTTCACAGACACTTGTGCCAAGCCTTTTAGGACTGGTTTTGTTTTTTGTTATATTATGTTTGTTTGGTTTAGTGGGACTGCTTGGTTGTTTAATTGATTTTGCTCTTCTTGTCTTCCTATTTTGTCAACTAAACTTTTTCATCCTCCCTTCCAACGACTAGTCCTGGTGCATGCTCCTTGATGTGGAAGCCTCTTGAGCTGCAGGAAAGGCATCTCCCTCAGCCAAGCCCTGCGCTGTGAGATTATTACCAGTACTTTCTTCCCAAGTCCAGGCATTATGATAGAAAAGAGCATCTATTTACTTCTCACCCAAATGAACAAATTTTGTATCCTCAGTGGCAAATGAGAAAAGAAAAAATGGAAATTCTCTCCTCCATGAATTTGTAACATAAATTTCTTTCTCTTTTCTGTTGAATAGTCTAAATATAATTATAGCAAGCTCAGTATAAAAGAAAATGAACACAGTTGTAAGCTTTCCCTATTGATTGTTTGCTAGTTTGTGCAGTGTTTAAAACTATAATTTTATTTACTGAGAAATCTGAATGATCTCTTATAAGGAAAACAAATCAAATCTTCTAAATTCCTTTTCTTACTAATTGTGTGACTACATAAACTGACTATGTCACGTTACCTCTATTTACATGAATGCATTTGTATGTCAAAAAGCAAGAGAGGAAAATTAAGTAAGGGGAAAATGGTCCAGTTTGAGCAATTAGCCAGTCACCCTGCTGTGACTGTGCTAGTCAGGGTCACCTTTGAAATAAAGGTGTAGATATCACTGTCCTGTTCATATTGAGCACTTTGATAGTCAAAATGGTGACCTGATCAGGGTCACATCATTAGTAACAATTCAGTGTCTGACACACAAGCTTCTGCTAAGTGAGTTTTTGATCCTAAATACTTTCATCAAGCCAAGACTTTAAAACCTCTTTCTTAGAATTACTGACATCTGTATGTCTTTATTCATCAGTTCACTTTATTGAGTTCCTCATAGTAACTCTTCATGAGAAAGTAGAGCAGAAAAGGCAAAGGCTTGCAACCACAGCTAGCTAAACTACTTTCTTTCCAGAGTGAAGCCAGAATTGCAGATTTATAGTTCTTGCTTTGTGTTTTTATAAAACTATTTTACTCGCTGGGGTGAGCAGATAGCACACATAACAAGAGCTAGACTGCGTGAACAATGACCTGAAAATGAAAACATTCTGAAGTTAGCTTCGGGAATAAGATTAAGAAGATGAGGAACAGAGAGAAACAGGGTAAAATAAACAGTATCTTGATGTTTGCTAAATGTTATCTTATTGCTAAATAACACTTACAATGGCCCTTCATAGTCAAAAAGCATAAATACTTTGCAATACTTTCTCCAAAGACTTTACAAACAAAGGCCTGAACACTCGAGGGCATACATATTAAAATAGCTCCCAAAGAGCTCTCCCAAGAACAGAGA